GAATAAATTTGGAGGATATTATGCTATGTGAAATGAACCAGATACAGAAAGACAAATATCACATGATCTCTCTTATATGTGGGATTAAAAAAAAAGTTGAACTCATAATAACAGAGCTAGAATGGTGGTTACCAGAGGCTGGGGTTGGAGGAAAAGGGAAGATATTGATTACAGGGTACACACTTTCAGTTATGAGATGGATATGTTCTGGAGACTTAATGTACAACATGGTGACTATAGTTAGTAGTTATGTATTGTGTATTTGAAATTTGCTAAGAGAATAGATCTCAAGTGTTTTAAGATATTCACACAAGGGTAACTATGGGAGGTGATGAATATGTTAACTAGTTTGAGTGTGGTAATCATTTCACAATGTATACACATATCGAAATACTATGCTGTATACCTTAAATTGTACAATTTTTATTCATCAAAAAATAAATAAATTAGTGGCCATGGAATCTCTATTTCAAGATATTTATTGCATTTCTCTTATATGTATGTATGCACGCACGCATGTGCACACACACACACTTGCATAGTGATGAATCCATTCACTTCTGCTGGCTCTGGTGTTAGAGAAGTGTGAGGCAACATCTTCAAGGGTGGCAGAGTTAATTTGCCTCCAAGATATTCTAGTCTTAGTGCCTTCAAGTCGAAGGAGTTTGCTTTTACCCCTCCCTGCCATGTTTGTTTTTGGGGTGATGATTGGAACTATTGACATCCTGCAGGACCTGGTCTGGCCTGGAAGAAGAAGAGATGTGTTTTATCTTAATGGTCTTTGATCTAGGTGGGTATATTTATTCACCAAGTATGTCTTCCAGTACACAGTGCATATTCAGCCACTCTTTGTAAACCATTTCTTGTTTCTTTACAGTCCTACTATGATGGAAAAAAATTTCCTTTCTTTTTAAAATTATTTTTTTTTGCAATTTTTTAAATAACAAGGGTAACTTATATTCATCGTAACCAGAAATATAATGCTAAGATTTGTAGAGAAAAACTACTTCAATCAAAGTTAGGAGGGCAAAATTGGGAACCACTGCCTAAGCAATTTCTTCAAAGGTTGCATTGATGAAAAGCAAACTTTTCTCTTGTTTTTAAGACCTATCTTTTCAAGATTTAAAAATATTTCCTTTTGTTTCTCTTTTTTCTTTTTTTCAATATACTTTCTATTTCTAATAGTTTGACTTTTAAATGCTTAAGTAATTCCTGCTTCCCAAGGTTTCTATGGCCAAGCTCATGATACTTTTTTCTTTTTTTTCATTTTTTCACGTGTATATATATGTGTATGTGTACACACACACACACACACACACACGCACGCACGCACACACACACACACATACAAACACATAAAATAGTAGCCCCAAGATTAGGCCAAAGATGGTCATGCTAAACTCCATGTCGGCAAACCAAAACTTAACTAAATTTCTATGCGTGGCTCTTCTAGAAAAGGAAAGCCTAGGTCAACCAATCCATGTTTGTCTGCTTAGCATAAGTTATCTAACCTGTTTCCATGATTTCCTTTTGCTCTGTATAAGGAAAGTAACCCCGCTTTAACCAATCATCAAATGCCCAGTATAACTTTCCTGTTCCTGCTTTCTTTGGTCTATAAAAATCTCTTGCCTTGTACAGCTATTCAGAGCTGCTTTCTACTTGATAGGTTAGATGCTGCCCAATCCATGAGCTGTTGAATAAATAAAGCCAATCGGATCTTTAAAATTTACTTTTTGACTTTTATATTTTAACACACGCAATTATTTAAAAAAAAATTAATAAATAAAGTGTTATTGGTTTCCTTTGAATACATATCCCCTGGATAGAACTCTTACCTTAGGAGGTAGATGGTAAGTTGTCTTTAATCATTAGTTTATTATGTAAAATGTTCACATGACATTTTTTTGCATTTTCCTCTTGTAGCTTTTTAAAGATTTTAGCATTTCATTCTATATGGATTGATATGCAAGCCTTTTCTTTTTAATTTCTGGCTTTTTTGACCTTCGTTTCCTCTGCCCCTTTGCCACTGAAATTCGAAGATAGTAAAGCATGATTTCCCCTTTTAACATAATTTAATGCCTTTTAGCGTTCATAGTCAGAAAGTCCTGTGTGGTCTAAATAAACTTCTTTCTGTTAGTCACAGTAAAACTTGGGAAAGGAAGTAAGGGGCTTGGCCAAGTGATAAAATACTCAAGTGATGTGGGAAAAAATGGGCATTATGGGGAGAAAAGGGAGGGGAAGAGGAGGAAATTAAAGGAAGGTAGGGAAAATATAAATAACAGAAAAAGCTGGCAAGAAAGGGAGCTTAAAGAGACAATTTTCCAAAACCCATCTGAGTTAGAACATTTGGGAAGTCTCACTGAATCCTGTCCTTACAGTGGTCAACTCTTTCATTGTATTAACTTAGAATTTAGGCTGTCATTAGTACTTAACTACATTGACATTGTTGAAATATTGCTCCATGAAGTATTCTGCTGCAAAGTGACACAAGAATCTGGCCATGCTTTTATATATTTTGTGTGGAGCTTTCTAGGTACAGGAGTGTCCACAAATGTAATCTGAAGATGGACTCAGGGCTGAGGTCCTAAAGGAGGCTGCAGTGAGATTTTCAGAGACTCAGACCCCCTTCTGATGATTGTAATCTTGGTCAAGCCTCTTATTCTGCCAATCCAGTCAGTAGAGTTCACCACATTGTTTTGGAAGGGAGAGTGATTCAGATGTTATCTAATTCAACTTTATCTTGACTTTCACCACATCCCACTGTGGGTGATGTTGACTAAACGTAAATGAAATCAGGAGGCTTTGGCTAGAAATAAATGATAAAGATTTATTCAAAAGTTTTAGGGTTTGAAAACTGAAAACACAATTAGGCAATACTCAGAATATTCTGAAGAAGAAAGAAAAGGTGGGATTTCTTTTAGTAAAATGCACGTTCTTGAGAAGAATCAGTTCTGCATTCTTAGCCTCTGGGTTAGTCCAAGAGCGTAATTTCTAGATGTCTGGTGATCTGGATGTCAAGTAGTCTAGATACATGAATATTCTTTCCTTAGTCCTTGTGGGGTAATCAGAGGGTTATCTGGAGATTTGATGTGTATCTGGGCATTGATGTAGAACTGCAAAGTTTAAAAATTTAAGCTCCCAAGCTAGTTAAAACAAAAGTATAATCATTTTCTCATACCTCAACCTACTTGATTTTAGTAATTTAGTAGCTTAACTACAGCGACTCCATTTTCTTTACTTTGTTCCTCAGTGAATTAACTGTTTCAGTTTCCTCAACTGTAAAATAAGGTTAAGATATTAACTATTTCAAATAGAGTATTATGAAAATGATGTTAAGTCAACATGACATACATAAATGTAAAGCACTTTAAATCATGCACATAGCAAGTGCTGAAAAAATGCAAGCTCTTAAAACAGAATTGATTTATATTAAACTTATTTTTGCAAATATCAACTCTTCCTCTGTGCCAGCAGATCTCAAGGTGTGGTGTGGAGACATGTGTGTGTGTGTTCTGAGAGACCCTTTTCAGGGGTCTGTGAAATCAAAACTACTTCCTTAATGTAATCAATCCGAGTAAGTGGGTTCTTTGCTGAATGTACAACTGAAAAGCCAAATCCAGAGGTAATGGTCTTTTGCAGAGAGGACTAATTGTGAGGCAGCCACATGGACACCAGAGGCAAGGCTCAAATTAGTCTCCCCCATTAGTGAACTAGTAGTGATTTTTATGGTGGAGAGGAAGGGGTAGGGTAGGCTTAGAGAAGTGATGATCAGGTAGTCTTTATGGAAGTCTTTGGTTCTCCTTTGTGGGCAGCCAGGCTCCATGTCTCTTCATACATTGCATGTGTAGAAAATGATTAGTTAGCATGATCCGAGGGAGAACTTTTAGGCTTTTGTAAGTCAAAAGTTCATCAGCTGGACAAGGATAGTCCTTCTAGCAGACTCCAGCCATGGACACTAGTCCAATGGAGCCAGGTTTGGCCTGGCTGTTGCTCAGGGTTTGGGAAGGAGATATTGATATTTCTAGAAAGACACTCAAAGAAACAGTTAAGGTCTGGTTTCATTAATAACATGAAGAGGTTATTTTCTCTTTTCATTCTTTCTCTCAAGAAGAGTGTTCTTCAGATCTATATGAAAAGTGATGTTAACATACAGAAACAGCTAGAGAATCCATGTCTTCTATTAAGACAAACATTAAAGAGGCTTTTTTTCATTAAAAAAATTTAGTTACTTACGTTAACATGTATCAGTTATTTTAAATGAATATTTTAAACTTCGTTTTAATTTCTAATACAAGTGTCAATATAACCTACAGAAACAAAAGCTCTTTGGGGTCTTCAATAATTTCTAAGAGTAAAGGTACCTGTGAATAAAGTCTGAGAAGCAAGACTTTGATGTAATTCATGATCGAATGAATGTGGCTGTCTTGTGATTGCCACAACTTTGTTTTCCAGCTTCTATGTCTTTTTCTTGTGATTTCCCGTCTGGACTGAACTTCTTCCATTTCTGCTGCCGAAGTCTTACCCTTCTTTCAAGAGCATCTTGCTCTCCTTGAAGCTGGTCCAGATTTCGCGTCCTCCTTGGCACCCTCTTTCCCGCACGCTGGGCCCTCTGGGAAACTTCGGGACCTCCCTTGGGCACATGCCCTTCTCAGCCTTGGGTATCAATTCTGCATTGACTAAGACTCTTGGCGGGCCAAGTCTGGGTTTTTCCATACCTGCGCGCTCGCTCTACCCAGAACCAGAGCGTCTCCCAGCCACCATATTCAACTGAGAGGCGCTGCCTGGGCTCAACTAGGCCAGGCGGCGCTGGAGGGTCACGGAAACGGCCAGCGGGGCCACTACAGCCAGTGGTGGGGCGGTGCAGTGGAACCGAGCAAGCACGCACGCCGGCCTCGAACCTGGTCCCGACTCGCTGGGATTTCCAGGAATCAGCAGCCGCTAGAAGGGCGGGCACTCGCGCCAGAGGGGGCGTGGCCTCCCCGCGCGCGGGGAAAGGCGCCGGCGCCGTATGCGCGCGCACAGTCGGCGGCCGCGCGCAGCTTGCTCGCTTCCTGGATGGCGGCTGTGGCTGCTGGAAGCGGGACGCCCCGGGAGGAGGAGGGGCCCAGTGGGGAGGCAGCGGCCCCGCAGCCCCACGCCTCGACCAGTGCGCCCGGGCCTCGTCTCTCGAGGCTGCCTCTGGCACGAGTGAAGGCCTTGGTTAAGGCGGACCCCGACGTGACGCTCGCGGGACAGGAAGCCATCTTCATTCTGGCACGAGCCGCGGTGAGGCAGGAGCGCGAGGGGCGCATGGAGTGGGGCGCAAGGAGAGGGGCGGGGCGCGTGGCAAGGGGCGGGGCTTAGCGGCGGCTTGGGCCGGAGTTGGGGGGCAGAGGAAGAGGAGGGCCTGGGCCGGGTGAGCGGAGGACTGGGAGGTGCAGGGCCCGGGCCGGATTCTGAGGTGTGAGTGTAGGAAGGGAAGACAGGAAAAAGATCACATACAGGAGTTGTATTGCTAACACACCTGCGTCATCATGAGAGCCTGGCCAAAGACGTTAATTTGCTTCTCCCATGTCTAACTTAGAACTTGTAGTTGCAGATGAATGAGTGGGGTGGATTTACAAGTGAGGGAGGGGAAAGGGGAGTAGAACTTGAAGTCCCTGAGAACTTCCCCGTGCACTTGAGCCCTCTTTCACTCCTCTCTCAGATGATGCTAGAACCGACTGATACAGTAGATCTCCGAATAACTTCGTTTTTTTTTTTTTTTTTGTTGAACGTTGTTTCCATATACTGTTGATGAGGTACCCTAGGAACTTAACTGTTTATATCACTTAGTCTATGGTAAAATTGGTTTCGTTACCGTGTCCTTTCGCTTAAAGTCCCAGAACCTATTGTATACGTTAGGTGATGACTTACTGTACACCTCTCCTTGTTTGCTTCACAGGAACTGTTTGTGGAGACTATTGCAAAAGATGCCTACTGCTGTGCTCAACAAGGGAAGAGGAAAACCCTCCAAAGGAGGGATTTGGGTAAAGTGTCACTGGCATTTGGGTAAAGTGGTATCTGGCATTGGGGGTGTACAAGGGAGGGCTGGATGAGGCTTCCCTTTGGTTAAGAAGGTGTCACCGTAAGATGGGAGATGTTTCAGGGTCTGTCCCTGGCATGTTTTTTTGTTGGACTGCCACAGTGCCAGAAAGCCCTACCTTTAGAGTCTTTATGCTTTGGGTCGTTGGAGGGGTGGTGGGACAGACAAGGAAAGGAGTCTAGCTGTTGCCAAAGCTGACTAGACCCCTTTATGCTTTCTGCCACATTGTGCAAAGGTTAACATTTTTATTTCCCCTAGAAACTGGACGTTTGATTTCTGACTCTCCTTTCTAGCCTAGTAACTTTAACACATATGTAAGCTTTCATATACCGTATTCTCACGTTCTCTGCTATATTGCCAAACTCTTCTCTGATGATTTTCAGAGCAAAGAGGTTTCCTCCACTGACCAGTATTTGCTCAGGGTTTTCTTACTCTTGTAGAGAGATAGCTGATATGTAAGATTTGGTAGTAGAGTAGACATAGATCTCAGAATAGCAAAGGGACAAATTTTATACATGCCCTGATTTGCATACGGCCTCGTGCCCTGCACTGTATGAGTTGTGTTTTTGGGGGATGATGTCCAGATGACCAGAGATAGTCAGGTGTCCCTTTGCTTTGTGTTTCAGATAATGCAATAGAAGCTGTGGATGAGTTTGCTTTTTTGGAAGGTGAGTTCTCTATCAGTGGGTAATTACTTCCACTTGTCTTTTCTATGCTAATGATCTGAGTTCAAAACCTAATAAAATGGATGCCTGGTTCTTTTGGGTTTGTGATGTTTCTTTCTTCCTATTTCCTATTAAGATAGGAAAAACTAACTTGCTACATCTGGTGAGATTTAGCTGAAAATTGCTTCTATCTGAAATGGAAGAGAAATGAAGACCCCAGTAGAATTCGCTGGATTCTGAAGGTTGATTCCTACTTTGATTTCCATTCCTAGATATAAATCTTCCCTCTCATCATAATGCTAAAGATCAGAGACAATTGCCAACATTTAAAGGGTTACTTCTTGTTCCTTTTTCTTCTTCAGTAGTTAGTGGTAAGTGATTATTTTGCTGCAGTGAGATTCTGTACTTGCCTCTGTCTGTTTGTTCTTGGGAATTTTAGATTAACTCATGCACTAACTAAATCTTGTCCTTGAAATAGCAAATATTTGAAATACCTCATTTTAGCTACCTTCTCTTAGAGCAGTTTCTGCTGCTTAATTCCTAAATCTGATCAGTTTACTCTTACTTACACGTACTCTGACTAGTTTTTTGAAAGCCATGTACCTTCACCATACTAGGGTGTTCTCATTGCCTCTTCAAACCTCATTACCTTCAGAAATCTTTTCTTGATTTATTTCATTATTTTAATGGTCTTGTTTTGCATCTCTGTATAATCTAGGCTCCTGGCCCTTTTGATATATTTTTCTAAATATATCAAAAATGTATCTTTTTAAGATACATTTCCATGTATCTTAATGATCAGCTTCATTTATTAATTTTTAGATCTTTCTCAAGCTTCTCTTTCCATCTCATTTTTTCCTAAAATTAACTTGTTAGCTATCTACATAAGGCAAACACCTTGTGATCGACTTTCTGTAAATTCTCTATTCAAAAATGTTTGGAGACTACTTTATCCGCTCATTTTTAATTACCAGCTCTTCAAAGAGATGAGCGATATCAGATTTGTATTTTAAAGACACACGTAACACTAGTGCCCTGTGGGTCATAAATTGGAGGGTGCCAGGAATAGAAGTGGAGAGATCCTATGTAGTTTTCCACTCTAGCTTCTTCCATGGCATAATGCGTAGCTCGAATTTTTAATAATGACCATTTATTGAGTGGTGGATGTTTTCATTTTCATCTTCCAATCCAATTATCTCAGTAATTGAACCCTCTGCTTATCCTACACTAGTAGACTAAAATTTTGGCCCTGTGCATACAGTCCATTTATATTATTTTGTACCTGGTAAAGTAAATGTTATGTCCTTAGTGTATGTTCTAAGTAGGAAACCATTTTTTCTTTTTTAATAAAGGCAATATGTATACATGCTTAAAAATCAAGTAATTACTTAATGTTTTATAATGAAATACAGCTGCTGCCCCTCACCCTTATGTTTTTAGTTTAGGTGGTTACCTATATTTCTAAATAATATGCTTCTTTCTTGATTTACCAACTACAGATGTTATCTATTGATTTCTATGACAAATGAAGATTTGTCTAACCTATACTACCCCGTAAATCCCTTCCTTCTTTCCATGTTTTGGTAGTTGTATCATTATTTTTAATAATTTTTAATTTTTCAATTACAGTTGATATAGAATATTTTATTAGTTTCAGGTTTACAACATAGTGATTAGACATTTATTTAACTTACGAAGTGATCACTCTGATAAATCTAGTACCCAACTGGCACCATACATAGTTATTTCAATATTATTGATTATATTTCTTATGCTATACTTTACATCCCCATGACTGTTTTGTAACTACCAAATTTTCCTTCTTAATCCCTTATCTTTTTGCACCCATCCTCCTAACCCGCCTCTTATCTGGCAACCATCAAAATGTTCCCTGTATCTATGAATTTGTTTCTGTTTTATTTGTTTATTTTGTTCTTTAGATTCCACATGTGAGTGAAATCAAATGGCACTTATTCTTGTCTGACTTACTCCACTCGGCATAATATCCTCTAAGTTAGTCCATGTTGTTGCAGATGGCAAGATTTCATTCTTTTTTATGGCTGAGTAATATTTCATTGTATATATGTACCACCGCTTCTTTCATCCATTGATGGACATCCAGGTTGCTTCTGTATGTTAGCTATTGTAAATAATGCTGCAGTGAACATATGGATGCACATGTCCCTTTGAAGTAAGTGTTTTGGATTTCTTCAGATAAATACCCTGAAGTGTGATTGGTGGGTCCTTCTTTGTCTTTTGTTATAGTCTTTGTTTTAAAGTCTATTTTGTATGGTATCAGTATTGCTACCATAGCTTTTTTGTTTTTTGTTTTTTTTTCCATTTTCTTGAAATATTTTTTTCTATCCCTTTACTTTCAGTCTGTGTGTGTCTTTGGATCTGAAGTGAGTTTCTCCTAGGCAGTATATATAAGGGTCTAGTTTTCTTATCCATTCAGCCAACCTATTTCTTTTTTCTTTTTTTACATTTTTTAAATGCCAGTTTATTATTTTTTTCATACTATATATACATAATTTTTTTAACATTTTACTTTTTAATTCCCCCCCTTCCCCCTCCCTTCTGGTAACCACTAGTCCATTGTCCATGTCCATGAGTCTCTGTTTGTTAGTCCTGTTCATTTGTTGCTTTTAGATTTATATCCCACATACAAGTGATATCATGTGATTTTCAACTTTTTCTGTCTGGCTCATTTCACTTAGCATGATTATCTTGAGGTCCATTCATGTTGTTGCAAATGGCAGTATTTCATCTCTTCTTATGGCTGAGCAATATTCCATTGTATATATGCACCGCAACTTCTTTAGCCAATCATCTATTGTCAGACACTTCGGTTGCTTCCATGTCCTGGCCACCGTGAATAATGCTGCTATGAACATCAATGTGCAAATATCTTTTCAGATATGGATTTTCAAGTCTTTGGGGTTAATACCCAGAAGACGGATTGCCGGATCATATGATAGATCATTTCTTAGTGTTTTGAGGAACCTCCATACTGTTTTCCGTAGTGGCTGTACCAATTTGCAGTCCCACCAGCAGTGTATGAGGGTTCCTTTTTCTCCGCATC